CAATTGTTGAAATCGGAGCAGTCGCCGAAATTCAGTGCGGCCGGAGAACAGTCGCCGGAGCAATGGGGGTGGTGGAGATGGAGTTTGGTGGGGTGGGGTTAATTATATTATATTATAGTTAAATATTTAATTTAATATAATAATTGTGAAATATAATTAATTAATTCAAAAAAAACCTGATTTTTGCAATTTTAAACTTGGGTACCTGATTTTTGATTTTGGTAAAGTAAATGCCTGATTCATAAATTTTTCCCATAAGACTTCTTAAAGTTGAGCCCAATTAAAGTGATCTAATAAAGTATTAAATTGTTGGGCCAGGGTATCCAAATAAAATGTGGGTCAGATTATATACGTAGAGACCGGATCTATTAGGGTCGTATTTGACGATAAACCAAATACATATTGAAACTATAAATAAAGTTACGGTCTCCAATTCATATGTAACTTCTCATTCTTTGTGTCATCTCATCAACACAAAAATTAATAGAGAAAGCATATTGAAGAGGAATATCCAAAATTCACAATCAAGAAAAAATATCAGAGCAATTAAATTGAAAAATAAGACAATCAAAATTATGAAGCAAGAAATAAAAATCAAGATCAAGAACTCAAGAACCAAATAGCCAATAATCAAGATTCAATATCTGAAATCAAAATTCGATATTAAATAATCATTCCCAAATAATTAAAGTATGTTACGCATTATTAATTTTCTTGGTGATTTGACATAGAGGATGTTGGCAATAAAGTAATTAGGTTTTCTAGTTTTATAAAGTTTAAAGTTTCATAAAGTTTCAACAAGTGGTATCAGAGTCATCTTCATGTTAAACCATTGAGATTCAAGAAAGAACTTTATGGATTAAATTCGAACTCTGGATTCTTTATTTTTTTGGATGCAAATTTCAATCCAAAATTTTGAATTTTAGTTTTTTATTAAAGTTTATTGTACGGAAAACGTAAAGGCGGCATGGTAGATTCCATTGATAATTCGGTTGATGGTTAGAGTGAGAGAAATCAAAATATAAATATTGATTTGATTTATTTTAGTAGGATATCATGCTCTCCTACTGCCATGGCTTTGTTGAATAATTAAGGGTTCATGAGTAATTAGATTTTGATGGGATGAAAACCGAAATTGTTGCCGGGTTCATTGGACAACAGCTTCCTGGAGCTGTAGCACCAACTTCGGGCCGCTACGGTGCCTACTTGTTGAAATTTTAATTTTATTATTATTATTTTGAAACCAAAAAATTAAAATATAAAGGGGGCAATCAAATGTCAAATCGTGGAACTAAAATTTATTTCGGGTTACTAATTTTTAAAAATAGATTAATTGAAACAACAAGTTACCAAAGTAACATCTCTTGTCTAAATTAATTTATTTGGAATATTATGAAGTTTATGTATACGTAATTCATTCGTATATTGACCGGCCCAAAGAAAGGTTAATATTTGGTCAAATTATTTACACACATGTGGTAATAAATATGTGACAATTGTAAAAAATTTCATTATGTAAACATTGAGTTATTGTTAATATCTTATTACTACACCAAGAGTGTCACTTATAAGTTAATATTTCTGTCTAAAGACTAAATATCAATATTGTGTTCGGTCTCTTATAATATGGTTCACTATTATTTGAAATTGTTGATTATCCTACAGGATTCCTACGTGAACATGTTATTTAGGATTGAGTTCTCTGTTTGGTTAATCCACCAACTTCTGCAATATTTGTCAACATCAATTTAATTCATGTACTAGAACCAAAGTTTAAGGACTGGAAAGAGCGTTTATATCGTTCTGGCGGTATGAATCTAGATCTTGCATTTAGGAGTGAACAACTCACTACTCTTACAGAAAAAGTTCCACTCATAAAAATGGGACTCAGATAAGTGGGATCATTCAAACCGCATAAGTCTTATGATCTTGAAATGTGAAATTCCAACAGCATTTAGGGACGTTGTGTCCGATAATATAATTAATGCCAATGAGTTTCTTGATGAAATTGAAAAAAACCTTTGTAAAATGAAATAAGGCCGGAACTAGCACGCCTTTAGTGAACTTAATTTCACTAAAGTATAAGGGTAAAGAAAACAGAAGGGGACATATCATGGAGATGTCTCAACTTGTTTCAAAACTAAAAGCATTAAAAGTTGAGTTGTCTGATGATTTGCTCGTACATTTAGTTTAGATTTATATTCTTACACAATTCGGCTAATTTAAGGTTAGTTACAACTGTTAAAAGGGAAAGCGGGCTCTTAATGAGGTCATTCCATATTATGTGTAAGAAAAAGAAAAGCTAAAGCAAGATAAAACTGATATTACTCACTGGGCAAGTACCCCTAAGGACAAGTTATAAAGAATTAGAAAGCTGCATCCAATTCGGTTCAAAATAAACAGTAAAAGCCTTAAAATGATAAATCTGGTTGTTACTTTTGTGAAAATTTGGGATGCATAACGAGAGAATGTACTAAATACCACGTTGGCGAGTAAAGAAAAGTATATTTCTCACTTTGATCTGTTTTGAAATTAATTTAGTTTCAACACCTAGACACACTTAGTGGATAAAATTTTGGTACTACCACTCACATAAGTGTGTCTATGTGAGGTTGCCTGAACAGCCAAAAGTCAATTGATGATGAAAGATTCATCTATGTGGGGACAATGGCAAATCAGTTAAGCTTGAGGCTATATGGACTTTTAGGTTATTATTTAAAGACTAGTTAGGATTTGAATATGAAAGAGATATTTGTGATACTGTCTTTTAGACTAAATTTGGTTTCTTTTTTAACATTGGACAAATTTTGTTACTCTTATTTAATTAAAAATAGCCAGTTTGATCTTTTTTTTAGTTCAAATATTGTGGGTCCCAATTCTTTATCCAGTTACAATAACTTAT